GAATGTTTTTAGTTTTAAATCTGCAATGAATGATCTTAACTCAGAGAAGTAAAAGGAATACATTTTCTATCATGCAAGAAAGAAAAATAGGAATGCTACATTTTTCTTCCTTTATCTTTGGTAGGATGGATGAAAAATGAAAATAATTAATAATTTTTTATACTTAGTAAGATGGAAAAAATATTATTTTTATTTTTATTTTTATTTTTAAAATTTATGATAATACTACAAATATTTATTTTTAAATTTTTTTTTAAAAAGTATAAATATATATTTTATCATTGTATTTATATATGAAATTAATGTATACATAATATATGTATATATCAAAAGATATATAAACAAATAAGATATATTTCACCACAAATAATTAACTTTTCATTCACTTTTCTTTCAATTTTAGATTGATTGATTTTGACGAGTTGGAAGGAAAACTCATCTATCCACTTTTCTATCATTTCTTACCAAACATGATATTTTATTGATCCCTTCAATTTTCTATTCTTTCAACTTTTTATTGTAGTATTAATCAAGAAGAGGCAAATTAATTAGTAGCATTACCATAAATATTTAAATTGTTTATTTAATGAGTTACCGTTCATGTTAAATTGTTAGTAGTGTGTCAAAGCATAATTAATTTTCAATAGAAATAAAAAGAAACAATTCCANATACACTCAACTATCATGTTTTTCATATTGGACCTCAAACTACAGATACTGATTTTAAATTGCCACCTCAATATCACGTTTCTCATTATTGCACTCTCAACAATGATAACTGGTTTCATGTTGCCCCAATCATAGACATTGCAAATGTGTAAATTACAAAACAATTGCGTATTCCTATCAATACATGACGGATATTTGATGTTGGAACAATGTGAAACTAATTCACGTAATTGAGAATGAAATATGAGGAATTGAGGAGACAAAAATGAGATTGTGACCATCGTTGAAGGTGTTAAAAGTATGATTTGCCTTTCAAATGTTTTGCGTAGTTAGACGGTTATTTGCAAAAGGTAGAGCATAAGAAAACAAATAATGCTTAAGCAATTGTACAACTTACTGATGGATTGCTCCTCTGCTTGGTCTTCTGAGCTGATTAATTTAACGAGGAATGTAAGAAATGTTGATGACAAAGCAAGTATAGAGGAGACATTAATTTATAGTAGGTTAGATTCATTTCCCAGAATTTAAGTAATCCAAGTGGAGCCCTCAGTGAGTTTTCTTTTACAAAAATGAAAGCAAGAACAATAAATTGTCACAAGGCAAGTATGTTCCATGTGGAAAAGTGAAGATGTTTTGTTCCATTATGGAATCTTTAGCACAAATGGAGCAACTCACATCAGTCTTTAACTAAACTAGAGAATGAATTAATCGATGTGCGCATAAATTAATTCAAATATATTGACTGTTAAACCAAAAATAAAAGAAAGGGACAGAGGACTAAAGAGAGTGTGACTCTATCACTGCAGTATACCTATAGGGTGAGGTAAGTTGAGGTACCGATAATATTATATTTTGTAATTTATGCATTTAGTGTTTAAATTGTGAAAATAAGTTTTTTATAAAAAAAACTATATATTTGACCCTCTTTAAATTTTATAATAGTAATAATTTTATACAATAAAATCAACTGTAATAATTATCAAGTCTATTTTTTAAATTCATATAGCATTGCTCTTCTAGAATAAGTTTCGACTTCTTTTTTCTTAGCTTTTCAGGTATGTTTTTACAAGCTCATAAGGCGTACTCAGTGCACGAGATTACCGTTATTGTGAGGTCTGGAGAGGGTTAGATGTACGCAATCTTATCTCTGTAAACAGAGAGACTGTTTCAGCAACTCAAACTCGTAACTTTCAAATCACAATGGCGCAACCTTCCTATAATCAACTTAACTTTTACACTAAACCCTGTTCCCCAATCCTATAAAAGATCTGCAGAGCAATTTTAAGACAATACTCATTGTTTTTCTCAAGAATGTTTTTAGTTTTAAATCTGCAATGAATGATCTTAACTCAGAGAAGTAAAAGGAATACATTTTCTATCATGCAAGAAAGAAAAATAGGAATGCTACATTTTTCTTCCTTTATCTTTGGTAGGATGGATGAAAAATGAAAATAATTAATAATTTTTTATACTTAGTAAGATGGAAAAAATATTATTTTTATTTTTATTTTTATTTTTAAAATTTATGATAATACTACAAATATTTATTTTTAAATTTTTTTTTAAAAAGTATAAATATATATTTTATCATTGTATTTATATATGAAATTAATGTATACATAATATATGTATATATCAAAAGATATATAAACAAATAAGATATATTTCACCACAAATAATTAACTTTTCATTCACTTTTCTTTCAATTTTAGATTGATTGATTTTGACGAGTTGGAAGGAAAACTCATCTATCCACTTTTCTATCATTTCTTACCAAACATGATATTTTATTGATCCCTTCAATTTTCTATTCTTTCAACTTTTTATTGTAGTATTAATCAAGAAGAGGCAAATTAATTAGTAGCATTACCATAAATATTTAAATTGTTTATTTAATGAGTTACCGTTCATGTTAAATTGTTAGTAGTGTGTCAAAGCATAATTAATTTTCAATAGAAATAAAAAGAAACAATTCCAATTTGTTAAATTAATTAGTTATAAAAAAATTTGGATCGATTAATCAAGAAAGTCAACAATATTATTGAATCAATTTGATCATATAATCACTCGAGTATAGTTCGATTTCATTGCGCTTATGTGAAGGGTGAAAAGTTGTTCAAAATTACAATATCAGTGTAAAATTTACAAAAATAATAGGTAAAATTATAACATCAATGGACAATTTCGTACAACAGTGGGCAAATTTTAACCACCATTTGAAGTACCATCACACAGTCACTGGGTTTGTGATCAAGTAGTTGCATATTGAGGGCAAAATTATAACATTAATGAAAAATTTACAGCAATAATAAACAAAATTACATAATTAATGAAAAATTTACAAAATTAGTGGGCATAGTAATACCCACTGTTCATGTAATATTAACAAAATTTGTTAAATATATCCACTATTCTAATACTTTTATCCATTGGTGTTGTAAATATGACCTACATTATAGTATCGTAAACTTACTCATATATGTCGTAAATATTACAAAAATAGTCGTAAATGGTCATCCAATATTATAAATATGTCCACAAATCTAGTACGCTTATCCACAACAGTGGTAAATTTGCCCTTAATTATAGTAAATTGACTCTCATGTGTAATAAATTTACACTTAATTGTAGTAAATTACTACGAATTTGGTAAATTTTACCACAACAATGATAATATTATCCTTAAAAATATTAAATATAACTAATATGGTGTTTTACATTACCAAATTTCGGTAAGGAAACCACATGTGGTGAAGACTACATTAACTTTGTGATAAATCTCAAGTTCTTGTGATAAATTGCAAACATTCATAAAATTTAATTTCATCAATTCAAAATTTAGTCAATTCAAAACCAAATTTAAATTTAACAACAAATAAACATTCAATTCCGTTAATTCAAAATTCATAAATTTAATGTTTTCTTAAGAAATATCATTTGATTAATTATTTAGTGACGATATTAAATTAATTGCCACTAAAGTACTTTCCTCCATGTTTTTTTTTTGCCAAATTTCTCCCGCCTCAAATTTAGTGACAAAGCTAATGTTGTCGGTAATAACACTCTATTTTATGAAATAAGTGATAATTTTTTTAACTTGCCACTAAATATTTTGGGTTAGTGGCCATTATTTATTTTCACCTCTAAACATTAGGTTTTAGTGATAATATAAGTTTTGTAACTAATACTTTCGCCACTAATAAGCTTATTTCTTGCAGTAGTGTCTAAGCATTCCTAAGTTTTTGTAATGTACGGAAAGGTACCATCCAATCAGGTCATGTTATGAATCAAATAAGGTCAAATTACAACTCAATGAAATCAAATTTTGATTTATCTAAAAAAAACTAATGATTAATTCCAACTTTTTTATAGGATCAATCCCTACTTTTTCTTTTTCTTTTTCTTTTTCTTTTTTTTAAACATTAATTTTTTCTTGTTTAATACCAATTTTTTGGCCCTTTTTGAGTAGTACATTTGATACCATTGAGTTTAATCTCACTAGCCCATAACATATCTCAAATTTTTTATTGACCCTATATTTTTCCTTGAAATTATTTCAGAATTTTTTCATATAAAATTACCTCGTTGCATATAAAAAATGGATTATCTGTGAACGATTAATTATACATAACGAAAGGAAGTATATTCTCGTGCTTATGCCAAGAATTATTCAGATATATCGAAACCTAATCCGATTATAATAGGTTATTAATAATATATACATATGTCTATATCTATATAAACATGCAATGAGGCCAAGTGGTTATTCAATCAAATTTTATTAAAATTTTATATAATTTGTTATTCAGCTTAATATTAGAATTCAGATTGGATCACAATTTTGGATGAAGTTTCTAACTTTTATCGGATTTGGATATCAACCATGAAAATAAAATCTGTGTTTAATTCAGTTCAATGTTTTTTATTGAATGGTAATTCAAACCGATCAAAAATCCAATTCGTTAACAAGTCTAGTCTAGTTGCAGTTTCTCTCTCTTTTCCCATGCAACCACCAAGACCTCATTTTACTCCTGTTTTTTCAACAAGTCTCCATCATTCCCTGAAAAGCTAGGTTCTTTTATTTGCAGGGGTGGATCTTCTTGACCCAGCCATATCCTGTGTCTGTGCTCCATGTCCAAAACTAATAGCAAATAACTTAGTAGTTTTACCACACCAACTGAGTAGTTGTTTGACGGAAAATATTTATCAAATTGTGTCATGGTGTGGTAATAATATTTGATTTTAGGCATGAGAAAATCAACTATCTTCTTATACATTAATCAAAACATGTTTGCCACAGGGACCTTACCTTTGGATTCAAGGAGTAAATCATGTCCAAACCAAGTGCTGATCATCTCTCTATAATTATAGACCAAAAGCTAGCTCGCTTATCTCCAATACCCTCGAAGCGTAACCTTTTCAGAGTGCATAATCCTCTCCGCAAGACAACTATGAAGGTTTACGAACCCGATATACTTGCTATTGGTCCTTATCACCATGGAAACCCCAACTTGTACGAGACGGAAGAACAGAAATTTCGGTATGTGCAACAGATTCTTAGACGAGCGGGAGAGTCAAGTGTCCGCAGATACATCATATCCATGAGAGAAATGAAAAAAAAAAGCACGCAAATGTTATGCAGAATCAACCTTAGTAAAGATGAGTTTGTGGAAATGATGCTTCTTGACGGATGCTTTCTCCTTGAGTTTTTTCTGAGGTACATGAGTTTTTACTTACTAGGAGAGGTGGGTGACTCTGTCTTCGAATTTGATCACATTCGGTATGGCCTACAACATGATTTATTGTTATTTGAAAATCAACTTTCATTCTTTATCCTAGTTCACTTAGCCTGCATTATTGGCCACCCACCAAACTCCGTTATTGTTTTAGCCCAGTCTTTCATAGCCATATGCTTTTCTGGTGCAACTATAATGCATGATTCTTTTGTTTCGATCCGAATAGAAGAAGTTAAGTATCTACTTGGTCTGGCACATTATTGACTGAGTTCTTCGTTTGCTAAAATGGTGCCCCTTAGAAATGTTGGTGGTTTCAATGGTTTCATAAATTGTACCATGGTGCACCAGGAAGCCGGAATTCAAATAAAGAAGGCCAAGGAAAGTACTACGAGTTTATTGGATATTAGGTTCACCAATGGAGTGTTGGAAATCCCGCCTTTACATATGAATGATGCGACAGAATCTCTCTTTGCAAATCTAATTGCATACGAGCCGTATCATCCAGCAAACACTCCCAAAAGCGTAACTAATTATATCATTGTTATGCATTGTCTCATCAATTCCACAAAGGATGTTGAGTTACTTCGTCACTGAGAAATTCTTAATGATCTTTTACGCAACAATAAAGCAGACCATGCCATGTTGACAAGGCTTGCAAAGAATGCTGTGTCATCGCGTAAATTATGTTACTCCCAAGTTTTCAATGATGTGTACCAGCACTGCCGGCATCGTCGGAATATATGGATGGCAAATCTGAGGAGGAATTATTTCAACACTCCATGGACAATCACATCATTCTTGCTGCTTTTCTATTGCTTTTTCTCACTTTGACACAGACTGTATTTTCTATTCTTCCTCATGCTAAGTGAATCCCACATCTTTATGTTTGTGTGCTTAATAAAAACTAAATATCATGTATAAATAAGTTGTACTGATTCATCAGTCAAGTGGATGTTTAAGAATTTGTAATTTTATATAAAAAAATTGTAATGTAAAAGTGCTCTATTCGATTAATTTCTTATACTGCTAGTTTAATTTCAGCAGCAATTTTGTTTCAACTAAAGAGCAAATCATTGTTCTGGGAATATATCCGCTTTCTGTGAAATTGACAGATACTCAATTTTCATATCTCCCGATAATTATTTTTTCTTAACCTACATTCCTTTAATTTTCTCTTGACAATCTAGTTTGAAATTCAATGCGTATTAATGCAGATAAATAGCTCATTTTATTGAGAGTTGGATCATTTATTATGATTGCATGTACAATAGATGAGGAACAATGAGAGGTTAGGGACAATTGTAACACAATAATCATTAAATAATAAGTTATCCATCTATCTGACAAAGAATAAATATTAAAATTAACAACACATGGTAACTTCTCCAACTAACAATTTAAAACCAAATAGTATCTAGCAGCGAAATAATTAAACTAGCTAAAACATTGTTTCATAAAAATCCCTCAAACACTAAACTAAAAATAAAATAACTCTATTCCTCTAAAACAGGATTCATATCTTGATTCTCCAATAGCTCATAATCAACCTGCTCATCCACATAAAGATCATTTTATATGCCAAAATCAATAAATGTGTTGTATAGGGTGAGCAAAAGCTCGTAGAAAATCCCCCTCAAATCTCAATAAGGTTTTAAAACAACATAAATAAGGTCATTCTCTTTTGGAAAATATCATATATAAATTTTTTAGAGTAAAACCAAGACAGTTGTAATGATCTCAAGTATACAGAATACAATGAATAAATGACAGGAATAAACTTGCAATAAACTAAAGCATTCAATAAATAACTCAGTAGTATCATCTCATATTCTTATGTGTATTAGTTTATCCTCATTCTCATATATGTTGGTTGCTTTGCAAGAATCTACACAACAATAACGGCGAGAAAGAGAAGCTCTATCTTCTCTCTAGAATTTTCTAGGCTCGTGAGTGACACACCAAGTTCTTCCCATATTCCACCAAAACCCCCGATTTACAACATGTTAATCCTCCACAAACACAGCCCACCTATGTTTCTCTCTTCAAACAATCATCCAAACCTATTTTTGTGGGGGAACCTTTACCCAAGATTGAAAAACCAATTGTATTTTATGAGGGGGAACCTACTTTTTACTTCTCAAATGAAGAGGTTAAACAATCATGTTCATCTCTTCAATATGCGCTAATAGGCAAGTGTGCCTATAGCAGGCCTAGTCTGGGTGTAATTCGAAAAGTGATAAGGTCTAGATGGGGATTGAAGGGTGAGTTTGAGATTGGTTCCATAGATCCAAGGCATGTGTTAATACGTTTTGAAAAGTAAGAAAACTATGTGAAGACGTGGTTAAAGGATGCTACTATGATTGAAGATTACTTGTTTAGATTCTTTAAATGGTTTCCAGGGTTCGTAACAGGGATTGAGCCATCCATTGTGCCTATGTGGATATCATTACCGGGATTACCTCTGAATTTTTTCAAGAAGCTGTCTTTGGAACTGTTGGTGAAACCCATAGGCAAAGTTTTGGCATATGACCAAGCCACTCTCTCGTTAGCCGGGCCTGGGGTTGCATGGGTATGTGTGGAGATAAACCTCCTTGCCAATAATCCCAATAGAATTTGAATTGATATGGGGGTTGAGGATGCAAGATGGTAGCGGATTGTATACGAAAGAAAAAAGAAATTCTGTAAAAGTTGCAAGAAACCGGGCCATGAAGAACTTGAGTGCAGGAAGAAGAAACCCATGGGTGAGCCAGATGTTGATCCCAGAAGGAAAGAATCCATCTTCAAAATCAGCAGATGCAGACAAGGAAACTAGGACTCAAAAAAGGAAAACATGTCATAATGGTAGACTAGGAAGGAATGCAGAATCAATTTACTGGCAATGACTTTAGGAAGTATCCGGACCATCACAGATCTCAAAAGGGAGTGCACAACAGAGAATTATGGAAACCGCAATATAAGAGGAAAGAAGTAGTTGGAAAAGGCAAGGATACGGAGGAAAGTTCTGGAAAATCTTTAAAAGATCCTATAGTAGAAATTATTGGGATTCCTTCCTAGCAAATCCCAATAATTTTGGTAAGTGGTGATTTATCGGGAAAGAATGAGCGAAATTCAATAATTATTGATGCTTTAGCTGATAACCCATCTCTGGTAAGGATCAACGATGATGATGACGCGGGTGACCAATCAGAGAAAGATACTAATTTATTTTGTTAAATTCCAATTTTGACTTGGATACTGATCCCACAGCCCCACTTAATTTAACAGAGGTGATTCAGGGTAATAGTAAGGAAACTATGGAAGCTTCAACTATGGAGAAACCCAATGAATAGTCTAATGGACTGTGTCCACTGAATAAACAAATCTCATTGACTTCAGATTCCACATTCCTTGTAGATCACGAATATATTTATGCTGGTAATAAGGGTTCAGCTTTGGATGGTGACAGGGGCCTGCTGTGTGCCAGGGAACCTCCTGATAAAGGCTTTCATTCTAATGATGAAGTTACTACTACTCTTGCATGTGTTGAAGAAGTGGATTCTATTAACTTGGAAATTACTTGCAAATGGAGGATTATACCCATTCAGGAATTGTTACTAGATCCAAATCAAGGAAGCAGTCTTTACCCCAAATTTCTTATGATTAATACAATTTCCTGGAACGTGAGGGGAGCTAATAAGGAATCCTCTAGGAGGAGACTAAAGAAACTAATTAAGCTTCATGATGTTAGCCTGGTGTCTATTTTGGAACTTAATTAAGTCCATCCAAGTTACAGATTTTATGCATTAGTTTGGGGTTTTCTTCATTTCTTGCTAATCCTCTTGCGGAAAAGCATATTTGGATACTCTGGGATCATCAAATGCAGGTGCAAGCAGTAGTTGTCCACAAACAAGTGTTAACTATGGAAGTTTCATTTATGGGGTCGGATAAATTTCATGTCTCTTTTGTTTATGCAAAGTGTGATCACATTGTAAGAAGGCCTTTGTGGTCTCAATTTACAGTCTTCTCCTTGGATGATAGTCACGGATTTTAATGCTATTGTCTCTTCTTCTGAAAGGAAAGGAGGATCTCCTCCTAGTTTCTCTATCATGTCAGAATTTATTGATTTTATTTATTCTTTGGGCCTACTGGATTGTGGATTTATTGGCTCTCCCTTCACATGGTGCAATGATCACCACAATATGACTCGTATGTGGCAAAGATTGGACAGGGTTGAATGGGGAGATAAATTTCAATGCACAGAGGTGGAGCATGCTACAAGAGGAGGATCTGATTGTTCTCCTTTGATTATCAAAATTTTTGACTCTTCTACAGCTAGAAGAATTTGTTATTTTAAGTTTTGGATATGTGGGTTAAGGATGCTGGTTTTCTGTCCTTGGTTCAATCCAGCTGGTCTGGTTTTTACTCTACAAATCCTATTGAAAATGTTTTCCAGAAACTCAAGTATTTAAAAAGGGAGCTAAAGAAATGGAATGCTAACACCTTTGAAAATATCTTTGATAATGTTAAGAGGCATGAGATGCTGCTATTGCAAGCTGAGCAACAAGTTGAGAGGGATGCTACTGCTACTAATCACCAAAACTTACTTAAGGCTAGGAAAGATTTGGATGACTATCTTATAATGGAAGAGATTTTTTGGAAGCAAAAAGCTAATGTTAAGTGGTCTATAGATGGGGACAGGAACACTAAGGTTTATCATGCCATTGCAAAAGGTAAGGCAATCAGAAACATGATTTTACGAATTAAAAATTATGTTGGCGATTGAGTAGAAGGGAAAGAGGAGATTGCTAGTTATGTTGTTTCTCATTTTTCAGCACTTTATGAATCTGAGCCACATTCTTTCGAGGAGGATTTATTTACTTTCCTCCCTGCTCTGGTAATAGAGGAAGATAATGTTATGCTCACGTCTCCAACAACAATGGAGGAACTTAAGCAGGTTGTCTTCTCTATGTCTGTGAATAGTGCCCTGGGTCCATATGGGTTCTCAGGCAAGTTCTTCCAATCTACTTAAGAAATAATTAAGTATGATTTATTTGCGGCTCTTAATTTTTTTTTTTGCAAGAGGGAGTGATCCCAAGATCTGTTAAGTCTACTTTGCTCACCCTTATCCCCAAGAAAGATCATACAATCTCTTTCTCAGAGTTTAGACCGATTAGCCTATGCAATTTTCTATATAAAATCTTCACAAAGATTTTATCTAGTAGACTATGTAATATTCTCCCCAAGCTTATTTCAAAAGAGCAGCATGGTTTTGTCTTGGGAAGGAGTATTGGGGGTAGTATTTCAATAGCCCAATTCATGGTGAATGATCTGGACAGGAAGGTGGAGGCTGGGAATGTTATAGTTAAGCTCGATATGATGAAGGCTTTTGATCGTATGGAATGGGATTTTATTAAGCATGTACTCCTAAGGTTTGGTTTCTCGCAAGGTTTTGTGGACTTTGTCTCAAACTATTTTCTAAACCAGCATATCTCTGTGGTTCTTAATGGTGTTCGTCATGGCTTCTTTCCCACTTCTAGAGAATTAAGACAAGGAGATCCTTTGTCTCCTTCTCTTTTCATTTTAGCAGAGAAGGTATTAAGTAGAGGACTACGAGG